CCGTTGAGACAACGTCACAGGAAACCAGCTCAGAGATAACCTTCTAAGATGGCTATCGCCCCCAGATCCATCCACCAACCATAATATCGCATGCAAAGCTCATCACAACGGGACAGCTGAATGGTTCTTTCGGGAAGTATATTCAGTCAGTGGAAATCCACTGGCTCCTTCTTGTGGATACACGGAAAACGTGCGTTTGCATTTGCCTTCACCACGCATCAACCCTGATCACCTCATGTTTCTATAGCGGGGTCCGGGAAAAGTTCCTCTGGTTCGCCTCTCCTTCGACTCTTTCCGCCCTTGTGAAATTGACATTATTATTTCAGTTCCTCAATTATACAAGATATCACAGCCTTGCGCGATGCCGGGAGGCCTCGATGGCCTATTTCTATTTTGATTTCAGGGACGTCGAAAACAAAACTTCAAAACTTACTTCCATCCCTCCTACCCAACTTTCTGCTCGCTCCGACCCATGTCATGACATTCTCTCCCAGCTCTATTGTACACATGATCGTGGGAACGGAAACCCAGTGATCGCGCAATGGTAGATGTCTCAAAGAAATGCTAAGCCTCGAAGCGCAAGGCCTACTTTCATAATTCTGGATGCCCTCGACGAGTGCCCAATCACGTCTGGTATTCCGTCATCTCGAGAAGAGGTCCTTGAGCTTGTGGACGAACTGTCAGCCTTCACCTCCCGAATGTCCATATATGTGTCACGAGTCGGCCGGAGCATGACATTCGGTTGTCCTCGAATGTTTAACCGAACACCCTGTGTCCCTTCATGATGAAAGTGGACAACAGGAGGATATTGCCAACTTCGTTGCCTCTTTTGTTCGCTCCAACCAGAGGATGAAGAGATGGCGGGAGGAAGACAAGATCTGGTAATCAAATCACTATCGGAGAATGCGAGTGGCATGTAAGTGCGCCAATATCTGTCTATAATCGAATGTTAAAAATGAAATAGGTTTAGATGGGTGTATTGCCAATTGGAAGTCCTGCGGCACTGTTTCCCATCAAGTGTCCAGCATATCCTGGAGGAATTGCCAGAAAGCCTGGACGAGACGTACGAACGCATACTAAGGGAGATCAGAAAGCCTAACCAAGGACATGCACATCGGTTGTTGCAATGTCTGGTCGCGGCTGTTCGCCCACTTCAGGTCAAGGAACTCGCGGAGGTCCTCGCATTTGATTTCAATACGGAGGGATTCCGAAGCTCAATCTAGGTTGGCGCTGGGAGGATCAAGAAGAGGCAGTGATGTCGGCGTGCTCAAGTTTTGTCATGATAGTCAAGCACGATGACTCGCGGGTTGTTCAATTTTCGCATTTTTCGGTCAAGGAATTCTTGACAGCGGACCGGCTTGCGGAACCCATGCGAGATATCTCGCGCTATCACATTCGACTCGAGGCTGCGCATACAATTCTTGTACGAGCATGCCTCGGCGTTCTCCTCCAATTGGACGATCGCATCGACCGTGACAGCATGAAGAACTTCCCGTTGGCTCAGTATGCTGCTCAGTACTGGGCCACGCATGCCCGAATAGAGAATGTGTCATCGCAGATCAAGGATGGGATGGAATGTCTGTTTGACGCAGAAAAGCCACACTTTGCGACTTGGCTCTGGATTTACAACGAAGATTGGTGGGGTATTTCCATGTGGACCATGCGCCCCGAGAAACCTGAAGCAGTCCCCCTGTATTACGCTGCTCGGCTTGGATTTCGCGACTTGGCAGAGCACCTCATCGCTGAGCACCCAGAGCACGTAAATGCCAGGGGCGGGCAAGAAGGGACTCCGATGCATATTGCGGCGTCAGAAGGACATTCCCACATTCTGTTATTATTAATTGAGCATGGCGTAGATGTGAATGGCCGGGACAAAGATGGCCAAACTCCACTGCATCGAGCATCGTGGAACGGAAGACTCGAAGCTGGGCAGTTTCTACTCAATCGTGGTGCAGATATCGAAGCCCAAGACAACTTTAATAACACTGCATTAAGTCTTGCGCCGATCCGGGGTCATGCCGAGTTTGCTCGAATGCTACTCGATTGCGGGGCAATGATCGATTCCCGGGGTGAGCTCGGCAGAACTCCACTTCACAGGGCAGTGTACAGCAGATGAACCGAAGTCGTGCGATTATTACTGGAGCGTGGCGCAGATCCCCATGTGCGCGATGAAGATTTCAAACCCCTTCCGAGTTGGGGTCACGACGGGAATATCACGAGATGGTAGAACTGTTGTCTGAGTATCATGCTAAGCCTATAAAAACGTAATTATGCTTGCTGATGTATTTATCTGGAGGTAGGGCCGTATCTGTGATATTGTACATGAAATTATTTGACCGCCAGTGCGGAGAACTGGGTCCTTTGCTCCTTTTATATCGCTTAACTAAATTGACATTGTAATTTGACGGAGATCTGGGCGTTGTGCTATGCCTTCTCGATTCAGCCTTTACTGTACCATAAGCTTTCCTAGAATAACTTGGATCGCTAGTTTGTTTTGGCTAGGTGAAACTAGGTGAACACCGCTCCAACTCTCCTACCAACTAACATCCTACTTCGGCTGTTAGTTCCCGAGCTCGAGGAATGTCCTTCAGATCTATCCAACACCCGCGGGTAAGGTGTTTTTGGTAGATTTTCCAAGTATTTGACTACGTCCTAAGCCTGGCCTGTATAGAAACAAACAGTTCTAAAATTATCAGGAGATGGGAATACAATAGGTGTAAACGGACGACTTGGCCGCTCAGTCCCCGGGCCATGACTTAAATATTTCTGCCCGCTCTCATCATGATCATCAACAGAATCGACAGCCAGTTCTTGCGGGTTTCCATGCCGCTCCCCGCCGATTCGAGCCAAAACGATTCCTTGTGGCTAGAGTGTTGGTGGGTGGGTCGAGTCGTATGCGGTCCTACCGCTTGTCGGGAGGATTTCCTGTGAGCTAACATGATGTCAACCACGTAAAGTGAGCCCAGTCAAACAATTGGGTCGTGTAGAGTCCCGTGTGGTGCCGCGGCAGGGCTACGGATTGGTTATCGTAAACCGTGAGCGCGTGAGGCCCATGGTGGGCTGTCATTTTACCCCGCACGGCATTTACTAATGACAACTCCTGTTTATTACGACTTTAAGACGGCACAGACTCGGAGGTGGGTGAAATTTCCTGCGCCTGAATATCGAGGAAAGTGACGGATATAGCTTACGAGGATCACAGAAACGTAGGATACCCGAGCCAAACGGCCCGGCCAGTACCAAAGGTACCGTATATGCGCGCGGAATTCAGCACAACTCTAGATCTCTTTATCAGTTCTTTATCTCGGTAGGTCCATCTTGGCGATGCACGAGGCTTGGCAATAATCGCTTGGCTGCTCCCAAATTCCGTGGATTTTAGAGGTCGGCTCATTACTTCGTCAAAAAATCTCCGGAACGAGTGAAAAAAAGTATACCATGACCCAGGATTTATGACATGGCAGGTACTGCAGGGTTAAAGTAGATTCGCCTTACTCATCGCCTTCTTCGCGTCATCGCACCGTGAGCACCCAATGACAAAGCAGCATGTGGGTCGAGCCACACATCATTTGTATATACCCATCTCACTGAGGGGTCAGGGAAAACATTAACGAAACTGTGCTATGGACGACAGGAAAACACTCACAATCATCCGCACCCAATTCGCTCCATTTGGCCTCAATGTCGGCCCGCCAGTCTTCCGTCTCGACAAATGTCCATCCGGGCTCGAGTGGGAATGTGAGATTGCTGCTGTTACCGTGTGAGCAGACCGGACCCACGAGATAAGGCAACTACCGACCTCACGTCGTCACTGCCATCCGCCGTGACTCGGACATCACTCCACCCATCCCCTAGTACTTGAAGGATAAAGCGTGGTCCAGACGGCTCAGACTCGGAATGTGTGGGCACCTGGAGAAAGACGCTGAAAAATGGAAGGTGACTTTGAGACGGGGAATGCAGAGGAACTATCGCCCGACGCTGGCATCCGCGTAAAGGTGGGTAGTTGTCGCGGCGGCAACACTGTTGTCGGTTATGACATGGTGGCGGGCTGGCTGCACGTGCTCAGTCACTGCTGACGCCATAAGTTTTGCGTAAGGTCATGTTGGTGGGGGACGGGTGACAGGTGATCCGGTGATCGATGATCATCGATCAACTCACCACCATCATGCATCAACTTGGGGTCACCGAACTTGAATTAGCTGCCCGCGTGTACGTATAACCTGTTTTGCCTTTTGACTTATGGTTTCTAACACCTGTACGTGCATGTACGGGCGTCCACAAGAAATCTGTGGGAATACTGATGCGGCTCCCGCATTTCGAATTCTTTACTGTACCGTGACTGTAGTACGCCTCACTAGCACTTCCCCTGGTTCCAGTACAGTATGCTACAAGACATTAGTATTTAATATTTAATGTCAAAGCTTCATCTAGGTTTCGAATTCTCAAATTAAGGGAATTGTCAAAGTCGTGTCAATTATATGTGAATAGTGAGGTGTGGTGTGGAAGTGCTTCCGTCTGTGTTGACAACGGACGAATTTGACGACAAGGCAAACTCATCACACCAGTCCGCCACCGACTACGCAGAGAAAAATAGACCACGAGTCTGGCGTACATTTAGGTGGTTGCCTCGGCTCAGGCGCTCAGGCCTGAGCGCCTGAGGCCTGACAGGCCCGTACAGCAACTTCAGTTTCAAAACCGGCGGTTTTTGAAATCGGGCGATTTCGAAACTGGGAACGCGAAATAGGCGGTGGCACTAGGGTCACACTGTGTCACACCTCCATTCCCTTGCCGATTTCGACATTTTTTCGAGTGTTTTGCTGTCGACCCCTCCAATTCCCTCATCAGAATGGTCTCTACAACATCTCAAAAGGCAAAGGCCTATAGGGCCTCCTTATCTAGCAAAAATCAGCATAAAAAACGGGTCACAGCACTCGTGGTAGCAACAACTGCTGCTGTAATCACTCATCAATGGCTCTCGCTGTTCCCCATTGAAACAAAAATGACGATGGCCGGGATTTGAACCCAGGTCCCCACACTGCTCCAAAATTATGCCATGTGCTCTAACCGCTGAGCCACTCAGCGTTGGGTCAGACTGACCTCATACATACTTATATTCTAACGCATCGATAATGGGCATCTGGCTGACATGAACATTTCCAAATTTCGTGTCTAAGTCACCTCAATCATTAAACTTTTCAATTCTGCCTCCATGAAGTTGTTTAAAACTACACAAATCTGATGTCATTTTGATGATAATAATAAAAAGAAGGAAAGAGTGGAAGGGAGACGCGATTCAACACAACGCGACACGAGAGTGAAAACCGAAGCAGAATGACGCGACAGACGTGACAAGTGCCGGTTTCGAATCGGGCAATTACGGAACAGCCTCTCCAATTTCGAAACCTGGCCAAAGTTCAATACGTTCAATTTCGGCAAACCGGGGATTTCGAAACTGGACCTTGCAATTTGGCTCCGGTTTTGAAACCGGAGTTGCTGTACGGGCCCTCAGGCCTCAGGCCCCAGGGCTGTGAAGTGGCTGTGGGCTGTGAGATGGCCCGCAAGCTAGGGCGACTATCGACTCACCTTCGTATCATCCACCCGTCATCAACTATCCCTCTCTTCTCCTCCACATTCCATCATGTCCGCCGGCTCCTCCACATCCACCTCCAATTCTAACTTCTTGTCGGTTTTCAACGCCGCTTTGGAATCTTACAAACGTAAAACAAAGAAGGACCTATCCTCGCATCCGCTTCTTCCTAAGCTTCAATCATGCGACTCTCCCGAGGCCATTCTCACTGTCCTCAGAGAGCAAATACCGGCGCTCAATCAATCCCAGAATGGTGACGATAGACTGACAAAATGGGTCTCCCCGACCGTGAATGTACTGTATGCGTTTTCCGCAACTCTTGGCCAGGGTGTCGGGATAGTGTGTATTGTGATATTTTGTCGTGGAGAATTTCCGCTTTAACATATACTTTCAGGCATTCAGACCGGCAAATGCAATTTTTTCGGGGATCGGTGTTCTCCTCTTGGTCTGTATCCTTCATGTGTCGCTTGCGCAAACTATTTTGACTATTGACACCGGCCCCCCAGGCGGCTAAAGATGCGAGCACCAGTCAGGAGAAGATAATCCACATTTTTAATCGAATCGAACATTTTTTCCGCCGGCTTGAGATATACACCGTCCTTACACCGACTGCGGCAATGACGGACATAATCGTTGAGATTATGGTCGAGGTGCTGACAACTTTTGCAATCGCGACAAAGGACTTGAAACGTGGGCCGTTGAGTGAGTTGATTTGCGTGTATTTGCGCTTCTTGACTGACAAGTCAATCAGAAAAGTACTTGAAGAAGTTGACGGGGAACAGAGACATCGAGGATAGCCTGGAGAGGTTGGACAAATTGACGCAAGAGGAGGCACGGATGGCATCTGCGGAGCTGCTGAAGATGACTCACGTCGTCGATGGCAAAGTGATGGGGGTGGATGATAGAGTTAAGGGTGTCGAGGGGAAGATGCAAGATGTCCACGACGATGTGCAAGATGTTCGCGATGACGTGCAAGGTGTTGGCAACAAGGTTCAAGATGTCCGTGGAGACGTGCAAGACGTTCGCGATGACGTGCAAGGTGTTGGCAACCGGGTTCAAGATGTCCGTGCGACGTGCGCGATGTTGGTGACAAGGTTCAAGTTGTCGACGATAGGGTACAAGACATTGCCAAACATATTTCCATTAGAGTCCAAGGCGTCGATCACAGGTTGGACCAGGCCAACCGTTCGTTATTTCTTTAACACCTTCTCATCATTTCCGACCGTTCAGACAACATCACAGGGAACCAGCTCAGAGATAACCTTCTAAGATGGCTATTGCCCCCAGATCCATCCACCAACCATAACATAGCATGCAAAGCTCATTACAACGGGACAGCTGAATGGTTCTTTCGGGGAAGTATATTCAGTCAGTGGAAATCCACTGGTTCCTTCTTGTGGATACACGGAAAACGTGCGTTTGCATTTGGCCTTCACCACGCATCAACCCCTGATCACCTCATGTTTCTATAGCGGGGTCCGGGAAAAGTGTCCTCTGGTTCGCCTCTCCTTCGACTCTTTCCGCCCTTGTGAAATTGACGTTATTATTTCAGTTCCTCAATTATACAAGATATCACAGCCTTGCGCGATGCCGGAAGGGCCTCGATGGCCTATTTCTATTTTGATTTCAGGGACGTCGATAAACAAAAGCTTCAAAACTTACTTCCATCCCTCATCACCCAACTTTCTGCTCGCTCCGACCCATGTCATGACATTCTCTCCCAGCTCTATTGTACACATGATCGTGGAGAACGGAAACCCAGTGATCGTGCAATGGTAGACTGTCTCAAAGAAATGCTAAGCCTCGAAGCGCAAGGACCTACTTTCATAATTCTGGATGCCCTCGACGAGTGCCCAATCACGTCTGGTATTCCATCATCTCGAGAAGAGGTCCTTGAGCTTGTGGATGAACTAGTCAGCCTTCACCTCCCGAATGTCCATATATGTGTCACGAGTCGGCCGGAGCATGACATTCGGGTTGTCCTCGAATGTTTAACCGAACACCCTGTGTCCCTTCATGATGAAAGTGGACAACAGGAGGATATTGTCAACTTCGTTGCCTCTTTTGTTCGCTCCAACCAGAGGATGAAGAGATGGCGGGAGGAAGACAAGAATCTGGTAATCGAATCACTATCGGAGAATGCAAGTGGCATGTAAGGGCGCTAATATTTGTCTGTAATCGAATATTAAAACATGAAATAGGTTTAGATGGGTGTATTGCCAATTGGAAGTCCTGCGGTACTGTTTCCCATCAAGTGTCCGGCACATCCTGGAGGAATTGCCAGAAAGCCTGGACGAGACGTACGAACGCATACTAAGGGAGATCAGAAAGCCTAACCAAGGACATGCACATCGGTTGTTGCAATGTCTGGTCGCGGCTGTTCGCCCACTTCAGGTCAAGGAACTCGCGGAGGTCCTCGCATTTGATTTCAATACGGGAGGGATTCCGAAGCTCAATCTAGGTTGGCGCTGGGAGGATCAAGAAGAGGCAGTGATGTCGGCGTGCTCAAGTTTTGTCATGATAGTCAAGGACGGTGACTCGCGGGTGGTTCAATTTTCGCATTTTTCGGTCAAGGAATTCTTGACAGCGGACCGACTTGCGGGTCCCATGCGAGATATCTCGCGCTATCACATTCGACTCGAGGCTGCGCATACAATTCTTGTACGGGCATGCCTCGGCGTCCTCCTCCAATTGGACGATCGCATCGACCGTGACAACATGAAGAACTTCCCGTTGGCCCGGTATGCTGCTCAGTACTGGGCCACGCATGCCCGAATAGAGAATGTGTCATCGCAGATCAAGGATGGGATGGAATGTCTGTTTGATGCAGACAAGCCACACTTTGCGACTTGGCTCTGGATTTACAACGAGGACAAAGATCAGCGGGATCGTTCCATGTCGACCATGCGCCCCGAGAAACCTGAAGCAGCCCCCCTGTATCACGCTGCAAGGCTTGGATTTCGCGACTTGGCAGAGCACCTCATCGCCGAGCACCCAGAGGACGTAAATTCCAGGGGCGGGCAAGAAGAGACTCCGATGCATATTGCGGCGTCAGAAGGACATTTCGACATTCTGTTGTTATTAATTGAGCATGGAGTAGATGTGAATGGCCGGGGCAAAAATGGCTATACTGCACTGCATCGAGCATCGTGGAACGGAAGACTCGAAGCTGGGCAGATTCTACTCGATCGTGGCGCAGATATCGATGTTCAAACCAAGTTTAATAACGCTGCATTACAGCTTGCGACGATGCAGGGTCATGCCGAGTTTGCTCGAATGCTACTCGATCGCGGGGCAATGATCGATCCCCGGGGTGAGCGCGGCAGAACTCCACTTCACTGGGCAGTAGACTTCAAACGAACCGAAATGGTGCGATTATTACTGGAGCGTGGCGCAGATCCCCATGTGCGCGACAAAAATGGCGAAACCTCTTCCGAGTTTGCGTCACGACGGGAATATCACGAGATAGTAGAACTGTTGTCTGAGTATCATGCTAAGTCTATAAAAACGTAATTATGCTTGCTGATGTATTTATCTGGAGGTTGGGCCGTATCTGTGATATTGTACATGAAATTATCTGACCGCCAGTGCGGAGAACTGGGCCCTTTGCTCCATTTATATCGCTTAACGAAATTGACATTGTAATTTGACGGAGATCTGGGCGTTGTGCTATGCCTTCTCGATTCAGTCTTTACTGTAAGCTTTCATTTTGACTAGGTGAACACCGCTCCAACTCACCTGCCGACTGACCTCATCAGACCCAGAGAAATGTTTTTGGTAGATTTCCTAGTATTCGACTACTTCCTAAGCCTAGAAACAAACAGCTCTAAAATTATAGGAAGAGGAAATAGGACAGAGAATAGTTGTAAACGGATCGACTTGGCCGCCCAGCCACACGACTCAAATATCTCTGCGCCGCTCTCATCATGATCATCAACAGGATCCACAGTCAGTTCTTGCGGTTTTCCATGCGGCTGCCCGCCGATATTCGAGCCAAGACGATTCCTTGTGGCGTTAGTGTTGCTGGTGGGTCGGGTCGTGTGCAGTCCTATCGCTTGTCGAGAGGATTTTCTGTGAGCTAATGATGTCAACCACGTACAGTGAGCCTAGTCAAAAATTGAGTCGTGCAGAGTCCCGTGCGGTGCCCACGGATTGGTTATCGTAACCGTGAGGGTGTGAGGCCTATGATCGCCGTCATTTTACCCCGCGCGGAATGAAACTCCTGTTTATTAAACTTTAAGACTGGGCAGACTCGGAGGTGGGTGAGGTGTCCTGCGCCTGAATATCAAGGATACGGTGGATATAACTTATGAGGATCGCAGGATCGCAGGAATACCTGAGCCGAACGGCCCGACTAGTACCGGTATAGGCCGGCATTCGCACAACTCTCTTTATCTCGGTACAGTAGGTCCAAGAAGGCGATGCACAAGGCTTGGCAACAATCGCTTGGCTGCTCCCAAATTCCGTAATGGCATTTTGTTCGTGGGTTTAAGG